TTGAAAAAAGTCAACAGATCAGTAAAGGAAGATTTAACTCTACAAATCCACACCCTTTCTGTCATCCAGGTAACATCTGTAATCCTTGAAAACAGTCAACAGATCACGGAAAATCTAAGCAAATCAAATCCACACCCTTTCCATCATCCTTGAAAAAAGTCAACAGATCAGTAAAGGAAGATTTAACTCTACAAATCCACACCCTTTCCATCATCCAGGTAACATCTGTAATCCTTGAAAACAGTCAACAGATCAGTAAAGGAAGATTTAACTCTACAAATCCACACCCTTTCTGTCATCCAGGTAACATCTGTAATCCTTGAAAACAGTCAACAGATCACCTACACCTGTATATCTTATGTTTCCAACATGTGATCTGTGGGCTTTCGTTTTTATACTGTAGATGTGATTATGTCTCCTACACCTGTTTATGGTCGGATACCATGTAATCTTCAGCAGTTTTCTCTAGTGGATATGTGGCCAGTTCGATTGACGAGCACTGTACGTAGAAAGAAAATATATATTGTGTATTTATGTGTAACTTGAAAGTGTACATGTGTTTACATATATTCAGGACAAGTAGCAAGAAATGCACCTTTGTTGTTGCACATGATTTGTGTATCATAACATTAGTTGCTTGTGAATAAGGTAGTATTCTCTTGTTTATTTTGTATTGATTACAGTCAAAGAAAAATACGTACTCATAAATTTCTAACATCATATTGTGTGAAATTCAAATATTTGTATGTAAATGTAATGTAATTTAATTAATTTTCCCATCCAAGTTGAAGGAAAAAGAACAGTTTCCGTTTCAACTGACATTACAAAGGATTGAAGAGGAATACAAAAGAGCTACAGAAGCTGTAAGTTCAAACACTTCGATAATTTACAAGTAAAAATGATGAATGAAATGACAGCTACAAGCATTTCTTACTAATTTTTGTTAGTTCAATAAACAGTGGGAAGGGACCCGAAGATTGGAAAGTTACCAATGTTACTCCTGATTTTAAAGAGTGTGATAGGAGTTGCTGTGGAAATATAGACCACTTAGTCTTAATAACCTGCAAAATTGTCAACTCCCAGTATTGCTTGTAGATTGACTCATAGTATACTACTTAAATCTACTTAAAAATCATTTTTTTGGGGGGAGGGGGGTGTTATGGGGGACTTTTTATGTAACTGGAAGAATTTAGTGAACCACTAAAACTACAGGGTTAGATCTGCTATTGAAAGTGTCTGATAATATAATTTCTACACATCATCTAGTGAAGTACTATATCGCCGAAAATTATCGTCGTGGATTTACTAAAGTTAAATCTTCCTTTACTGATCTGTTGACTGTTTTCAAGGATTACAGATGTTACCTGGATGATGGAAAGGGTGTGGATTTGTAGAGTTAAATCTTCCTTTACTGATCTGTTGACTGTTTTCAAGGATTACAGATGTTGCCTGGATGACAGAAAGGGTGTGGATTTGTAGAGTTAAATCTTCCTTTACTGATCTGTTGACTGTTTTCAAGGATTACAGATGTTGCCTGGATGACAGAAAGGGTGTGGATTTGATTTGCTTAGATTTTCCGGTTTAAACTATGATTGGTATGGCACCTACCCAGATAAAATATAAAGTTTTTCCCTAAGAAACATTTAATAACTATTCGGACATTATAAAGATTTCACATGTGAAATTTCAAAATTTTCTGATGCATAGAATTATTTTTAATCTTAAAATGAAAATTACTTTGCATGTTGGACAAACATGATGTGAAAAGAAACAAAAAGGTATGAGAGAAACATTTCTTTACAAACGTTACGTCTTAATAAAAAAATTTGATATTTTGTATTTGAAAGCATTGTAATGTTTACTGATAATCTGCCAAATTTTCGTTAATGTTTGCTTTCTAATTTAAAATTATAGCATGAAAACTGTAACGAGCACAAAATGGTTACGAGGTTGTCACATTGAATGCTCTAAATCAAATAAACCTGATGACTTGTCCCACCTGTCTCTCAAAACATTTCACACAAATCTTCAAGCTTGAGCCCTAATAAAGAAAAATTGCCTCCCAGTGGCTCAGCAGTAAGCCTGCAGACTTACAATTAAAATAATTTAAGTTTTGGTACCCATGATGGGCAGAGCACATATAACCCATTATGTAACTTTGTGCTTAATTAACAACAAACCAAGCCATAGAAAAAGCTGTAAATATATAGAACAAGAAGCACATAAAACAACTTAGAAAAAGTAACAAAAAATACAGAACACTGAATGTAATAAAACTTTTTAAAGTTTTTCTTACAATTTAATGTTTTATATTAAGTGCATTTTAATTGGCCTTGTTTGAAACAATTGTATCAATAGCTCATCTTGTTTAATATGATACATTGTTTAAGTATGTGGACATTAGTGCCTTTCAGTGGTAGTTCAAGCAATGTCTAGAGGTTATGGTCGCACATGTGTCATAAAGAGAATGACCAGTCACGTGGGTATCAGAAGTCATTCTTGCATAGTAAAGAACCTTAGATTCAGACAGTCTTAAACTTTTCCTCTTTTACAAAATACTGTCTGAATAGTGTGATGGAAGACTCAGTGAAAGTGACAGTCCAATGTGTTTAAAACAACAGAACAGATACACACACTGTGTTTGTGTTTCATTAGATACTAAAGATTGTGTTTTACATTGTGTTCAGTCTTTATTACATTTAATCTTGTTCTAGTCAGTAAAAGTTTTAGTTTTATTCCATAATCGTTATCTTGATTGAATTTCCAGTTATCAAGTGGACCTAACATATGTAGCTCTACAGTCAATTCAGTTTTTATTTCAATATACCACATAGATGCAGTAACTTTAATTGTATGGGAATAGAGGAGGCTAAAAATGTTTGTTTGTTTCAGCTGCTCTTTAAGTAAACTTATATTCTTCCATGAAACTCTCAATTGTATATTATGGACACTAAAAGATGTTTGACCCTGAGCGTGTGAGAAGCTACACATGTACTTGTAGGAACTTGTACATTAACATGGAAGGGACCTTTTAAAGTAGGTGTGAACATGTAATTTTAAGGTTAGAATTAACACCAGAGCTGAAAGTGAATATATTAAAAGCATCATTTATCCACTGACTACAGTTAATGTATTAGTTTCACTGACAACTAATAGCCCGTGGAACACGAGTTCTCTCACAATGAAGATAATCAGGGTAAGGGTCTGACTGAATATATTAAAAGCATCATTTATCCACTGACTACAGTTAATGTATTAGTTTCACTGACAACTAATAGCTAGTTTCAGCTTGTAGAACATGAGTTATCTCACAATGAAGATAATCAGGGTAAGGGTCTCACTGAATCCACTTGTCTGGAAGATAAAAACAGACATCCAGAGAAGAGTGTAGGTTTCTATGGTGTTAATATGCTTCTGCATCTGTGGGAAAACTGCTGGTTATTTGTTTGTTGATTCTGTTCCTTTTCTTAGTGTGGTGCCAAACTCTTCGCTGTCTCATGGTGGGTTAAAAAGATTGTTATATGACATCTAAGGAGGCTTCAAAAGTGTTATATGAAATTTCAGTCAGAATATTGTGTTTATCCATAACCTCTAAGGTTTATTGATTAGGAACCCCCTCATCAGGGTCTTGGCAGGATGGCATTCAACTTTATTCTGAATCAGGAAAGGGTGTGGGCCAGTTTTAGCTATCAAAGATCATACAGCTGTATCTAATACAAGGTTAATATATTAGTAATAATATCATTGATTAATAAATGTGCTCCTAGTATATATATATATAAATTGTTCCATAATATCTCTCAGTTGTGAAAAATCCTTGAATCTTGACAGATAAACATTTCTATTAATATATTGTATAAAGAAAGAGAAAAATGAATGAAACTTTGTTTTCTGATAATTAAAAATATCTTATGTTCGATTTTACACTATGGATGTGATTATGTCTCCCAGTGTTTAAACTATGATTGGTATGGCACCTACCCAGTTAGGTGCATACCAATCATAGTTTAAACACTGGGTAGGTGCCATACCAATCATAGTTTAAACACTGGGTAGGTGCCATACCAATCATAACCTAAACACTGGGTAGGTGCCATACCAATCATAACCTAAACACTGGGTAGGTGC